TTTGTGTGGATGCCATTCCACTGGGAAGTCTCAAAAGCTTCTTTCTATGAGAAGAATAATATAATGAGACTACTGTGAGACAGAGAATCTGTCCCTTTGTCACTTTCTCTCTCTCTCTGTTACCTCTATCTCTCTCTCTCTCTCTCTCTCTCTCTCTCTCTTTTTCTTCCTCTGCAATCCTGCATAAAGACAATACATCTAGGCTGAACAGAAAACAAGTTACGTTTTATTTAATAAGTTTTATGGTACTTGCAACAAAAATAGGTCACATAAGTGCTGAAGAACAAGAGATCATGCTACTAGTACTACTAGAGAATTAACAAACAAAGAAAAGGAAGAGGAGCACGTCATACATAAGCTGCCTCAATTAACACTTACAGTACCAAAGACTCAAATTGTGGAAAAAAACAACCCAAGGACTGCACCAGTTTAGAATGCTGAAGTCAATGTAGAATTTTCTTTAATTAAAAAAAAACCTTCACATCCCAAGAAACACACTTGAAAAATTCACAGTGTTTCATTAACCATTCAGCTATCGCATAACGTGATTGCCTTTGGTATTTACTTCATTGCACGGGCTCATGGTACTAAAAGTGTTAATGTAGATGGTATTGCACAATCTGAAGCAATGCCCCAGTTAACTAACCGCTCATTACACAGTCTGGCTTAGTTAGCTCTTTGAATATGGTGCGTCGCTTCATCCAAGCATCGCTCACTACTTGTATTTACACTCAGAAAAATCTACCAAACCTCAGCAAATTCACCTTGTTACCTATACTCAAACTGTATGTTTACTGTTTGGATCATTCATTTCTACTCGGTTTGGAGTTTATTTTATGCAAATAGGTTGTTAAATAAGAGCGGAGCTTTAGGGAAGTTTGCGATGCTAAAGACTTGAATGACATAATGGTTGTGTACAAAGGAGAAACAGTAACAGCCTTCTGAGTACAAAAAGTGAAAGTACTACATAGGACTTAGCACCCTTCCCCTGTGTAAATATTTCAAAATAAGAGTTCTCTGGAACTTAACACCCATCCCCTATATATATAAATATTTCAACATACAGTTCTCTGGAACCTACTGCTCTCAGCCCTCCCACATACCTCTCCCACACCCTCCGCCATCTCCCAGCAATAAATAATAATTATAATTATATCAGAACCCCCTCCCACTAAAATACTCTACATCACTTTCAGCGTATCTTCTTCGTAATTTAAACACTCAACTATTCCAACATTGACACAGAGCCTGAAAACTTTTTTCTATCTTGTGTGTAGAACTTAAACAGAAAAAAAAATAGCCAGAAAGAAATTACCAACTGACGTTTACGGTACACATTTTCGCTTTTAGTTTCGGGCAAATTGAAAGAGTGTTCTGGATCCAACATCAGACCTCGTCTCTTTGTTCAGCGTTAATGTCAGAGCACCCATGAAAACAAACACAAGGGGGCGTGGGTGATAACTACAGAGACAATTAAACCTCACGGAGCGATGGCGGCAATATTTACTCAGCACCGAGGAATGTCACCCGAGGTAAGAAGGTGCATCCACCCCTTACAGTCAATCTTCTTCGGGGACACAAGGCACTTTCCTGTAATGGTTCTGACCTACTTCATTGAAGAGAACCCCCCCCCCCTTCCCCCCAAAACAACCCACTACCTGAAATTAAAAAAATAAAATACAAAGTACGAGAAAACTGTTGACTTTGTCTAACATAAAACTGTTCAACTCGAAAAAAAAATTTCTCCAAGAAATGATTTCAAATCCACATGCTCAAATCAATTTCTGGAGGGGATTCCAGATAAAGTTTATATAAAAAAAAAAAAGACATCAAGTTCAAGGGATATCTGACAAAAACATAGTTTTGTTTCATTTCATCATTTCCTTCCTTGCTTTTAAATGTAAAAACCATGAGTGCCCCAAGTCTTGGTTCTGATTTGGGATGGGTTTTTTTTCCTTCTTTACCTGTCTCCAATTTTAAAAAAAATGACTTAAGCGCTTGCGAAATGATGCTGAAGATATACTGGTCCACACACGTCTAAATAGCTGAAGTTTCCGCACAACCGCATCTAAGTAATTCACAACCAAAGATATTCCCCTTTTTCTGGGTCACTGTCGGACCAGATGAGCGGAAACAACCAATCAAAAGGTAACGATATGACAAACTAAAGTCAGAATTTTGAAAGCCCAGTAAAACAGACTAGCCCTGTTGGTATATAATGTCTTCCAACCACGCACTCGAACACAACTTGGGCTGTTCCAAGCCTGTCTTTTCGTTCAATTCAGAGGTTAAATATAACAACAACAAAAAACCCCACCCATTATCAAATGACATTCACACATTTTTTTTTTCGTCTGTAAAAAGTGTCCTCTTTCCCCTTAGCCAACTTGCAAAGTCTTTTCGTTAAGTTCAGAGATCAGTTATGACATGCGAGCCCTTGTCATCTTGAGGTAACCCTCTGGACATAGTTAAGTCAGAAGTACATCCTACTTTGCTTGAGTATGAGTAAAGAGAAGAAAAACTGACGTGATTAAAATAAGGGTCATTTAGTGCAGGGAGAAAAGTTAATTAAGACAGAAACAACAGAGGGAAAGAAGAAAAATAGGACCTACCAACAGCACCCTTCATGTATGTATATGGCCTAATAAGGAAAACGAAACAAACCAACATCCCCCCCCCCCCCCCCCAAACACACACCCGAATAAAAGAAAAAAACAAACCCAGCAATGACCCCCCCCTTAAAAGCCGACAGCCCCAAAAAACATCCCAAAACAAAACACACTCATACAGCCGACAGCCCCAAAAAGCCATCCCAACACAAAAACTATGTTGAAGCTACCCACAACAAAAGAATAATATACCGTACTAACAAGGCAGCACATCAAACATAAAGATACCAACAAAACAAAAAGTGTGTGTATAGTCTGTCTGCCCTAACAGCGTGGTTGAGGAAACGAGATGGATTTCATTTGACTTCACGGGTGCTGCAACATTAGTGTTAACAGATAATATATATATTTATACTGTCGGGCAAGGGGGGGGGGGGTAAAGGTCAAAATTAACAAACAAAACAAAATTCAACAACTTAACAACCCCAACAATCTCCATAACAAATAGGGTCACTGTATACCGGGTCTTTTTCGCATGTGTGCCTTGAGGAGTTTGCGATTTTCAAAGAAATTCGCGCAATCAAGTTGTTTGTGAAATGTTAAACTGGGAGCTACGTGTTGCCAAACACGATAATGGGCAACTCAAATCCTGAATTGAGAAAGTTCATGAAAAACAAACTTGGCAAAAAAAGAAGAAAAAAAAAAAGGCGAAAAAGAACTCCGGAGTACAATACACACATCAGGGTAAAGTTGCCAAGGATAAAATTTATTTTAAAAAATGGAAGGGAAAAATAAAATACGAGAACAAAGAACGTGAAAAAATTCACAACAAAGGAACAAGGAAAAATCATGTTGTTGTATTTGACAGAGCAAGCAACGACAGCAGAAAGAAACTGCACTGAGGGTAAAAATCTATCACGAGGAACAGAACAGAGTAAGAATCACAGGTTGGAAAGATAAACTGATTAACACGAGCGTATCGTCATCGCAATGCCACAATCGACCAAATAAATTTCTGGGGATTTCCAGATAAAGTTAGAGTTTTTTTGTTAAAGACATCTTGGGGCATCTTACAAAAAATGTCTCTTCTTATTTCAGTATTTCCGTCCTAGTTTTTAACTGAAACATAAGAAGTGGCCTAGTCAGAGCTCGAATTTGGGCCACCCGTTTTTAAACTTTTTTCTTTAAATTTTCCTCAAAATATTTTTAAAAAAAAGACTTAAGTATTTGTGGAGCTGATGCTATCTTCTTTCCCATCCAACAAGCATATGTAATACAAGCAGAACCACAATCATCAATAATCTCCCCATTTGCAAGTTGTAAAATATAACTCAAGTCATCCCATCCATTGACGTATTCACAGCCAAAAACTATACAATTTCGCTAGCACAAAATAATGAATTTAATAAATAACCTAGATATCTATTCCACTACACTAAAGCTAAAAGCAGGGCCATCCCAGCATCTTCTGTCCAAAAGAAGCGTCTGCAGATATAATATAATCACCCTCTGAAATTTGATATTTATTTTTCATACTTGGGTAAATCCCAAGCTAGCAACTCTGTAAGAGTTTTGTTTCAGGAAAAAAAGTATGCCTCTTGTTTTTTCAGTCTACTGACTAGATCTAAGTCGTAGGGTCATATAGCGAGGCATAAAAATCAATTTTTGAGAGAGTTGAAACAGAGAGAGAAAGAAAGAGCAGACAGAGAGGGAGGGAGAGAGAGAGAGAGAGAGAGAGAGAGAGAGAGAGAGAGAGAGAGAGAGAGAAAGAGAGAGAGAAGAGTGCTCTTGATTACAAAGCAAGGTGAGGGTGACGAAAAATAACTGTCTAGATGGCAACCATTAATCTAACACAATGGCTGAAGGTTCAAAACCTCCATGAACACCTCATTCCCAGTAAAAATTTGTAATGGTAAATGTTTTACACATCTGTCGACGCAATTCTATATATAACTTAGGAAGCAGGCCGCTTTTTACTGCCTGTCAGGGTCAAGCGGGGATGAGATGGGGGGGAAAGCAATATCCCAGCAGATAGGTGGAAATATTCGATTTAAAAAAACCCTCTTCCCTCAGGAATCTACATCTACGTCACGTCCTCTGTGAGCGAACGATGGCTGGCAAAGTGCCTAACCGCTACACAGCAACAGACGCCAGTTCTTTTAGTTTTAGTTAAAGCTAAATAGTTTTACGGCATTTGCAACACAAATTGGTCATATAAGTGCCGGAGATTAGAGGAGTTACTAGAGAACAACAAACATACAAAGAAAATAAAGTAATGAGGTAAAGATGATAGGTAGGTGTTTGATGTAAGAAAGAAGGAACTAATCACACTACAGCGCCCGCCCACCAACCACCCACAGACGCCGGTTCATTCACAGTACGTAGAACAAGTTTTTCATTTTCCACTCGCACACAAACAAACAAACAAACACACACCGTGAGGAGAACTGCAAACATCTACTGAGCACCAAGCTCGTCCTGGCATATCGGATAAAATTATCCTCGTTGTGGGGGAAAAACAAAACAAAACACGAAAAAACAAAAAAACATTACGTAGTACGTAGTATCTCGTTGTCAGATCAAAACACGGGGCGGGGGGAAACAAACTCTCCGGGAGAGAAAACCAAACAAAACATCGTCTCATATATACTTCGTTAGGCCGGACGAGAGACCCATCACGGCGGAGACCGTTCTCATTAGTATCTGTACAGCTGAGTTAAGGACATATTACAGCATGCGGGAAGAAACACGGAACATTTTTTTAACGATAAATCAGGAAAAAAGAAAAGAAAAAAAAAGGGAAATATTATTATCAACAAAACTCAACCCACTTGTTGCAAGGAAAAGCATTCATGTAGAAAGAAAAACATTCTTTTCCTCAGTGAATAAAAAGTCTATATCACGAAGATAAAAGGCCTTTCCTTGTTGGTGGGCATCAATCGAGATTAGTTTTTTTGTTTCCACAACTACACATAATTTCCTGGCACGCAATCAATGCCAGTCGTCGTCAATCAAGTGGCAGAGAGGAGAGAGAATGACCCACCCATGCTGCTCACTAACACACACAGTCCAACAGATCTGTTTATCCGCGTCAAGAGTCAAGAGTCATCGTGTACCGGCGGGATAGTTCCCCACCGATGTCGAGTCAGGAGAACTGACAGCTAGCTTAAATCTACGTTGAACAACACGGGGCTGAAAGCTCAAAATGCGAGTACATTTATCATCTCTCCACGGTTTAGTCTTTAGTAGGTTCTGAACTATCTCGTTGATCATCCCTCGATAGTTTTGTCGGTAAATCCTGAAACATCTTGTCATCTCTCGATAGTTTTAATCTGTCAGTTCTGAACTATCTCGTTGATCATCCCTCGATAGTTTTGTCGGTAAATCCTGAAACATCTTGTCATCTCTCGATAGTTTTAATCTGTCAGTTCTGAACTATCTCGTTGATCATCCCTCGATAGTTTTGTCGGTAAATCCTGAAACATCTTGTCATCTCTCGATAGTTTTAATCTGTCAGTTCTGAACTATCTCGTTGATCATCCCTTGATAGTTTCGTCAGTAAATCCTGAACCATCTTGTCATCTCTCGATAGTTTAGTCTATCAGTCCTGAACTATCTCGTCATCCATCCATCCATCCATCCAGTCAGTCAGACTTGGAACTGCTGAACATCGTAGAGAAATAAGTGTTGCCATGGGAACGTCAACACTTGCGCTGGATCCTTTGCGTCGAAAGAATACGTCCACTCTCTGTGTCTCGAGTCCATAACGTGCCTCGGGTAATCTATCAGACTCAGTCACTTGTCGATGTTCTTAATGTAGTGGACAAATACATCAGTTAGACAAAAATAAAGAACCCTTTCAAAAATGATGTGTACACAAATCTTGTCAACACACGACGCGAAATAAAAATCGAACAATAAAAAAAAAATCTCATAAAGGAAACAGCCGATGTCGAAGGTATCTCCGATGTGTAGGAGATAGTCGACATGTTGTCGAAGTATAACAACAAGTCCATCATATTGTTGTAGTATAACAAGGTCAAGGTCCACAATGTCTCGTTGTTTTGCCAGAACATCGCCAGCAGCCAGCTCAACCTGCGCGCGCGCCCCCACAGACGGTCCGTGGCATTCATTGTCATAGGACAGGTATAGTCCGCGTTGGGGTGGACACAAGACCCGGGGTCCCCAGATTCTCCACGCCGGACGAGGACGACGCCGAGAAAGTCCCGACCAGCGGAGAGTAGGCGAGGGGCCCGTTGAAAAAACTGGGGAACTGGAAGGCGGAGGCGGAGGAGTTGAGCCTGGGGCTGAGGGTGGTGACGGGGGAGAGGGAGCTCCAGAAATGGACGGGGACCATGGGGCTGGGCAGGAACAGTGGGGTCGGGAGGCCGTGGAAGGCGGTCATCGGGTGTTTGGCCGACGGGGAGATGATGGGGACCCCGCCAGAGGAGATGGGGGTCAGCGGGCTGCTCCCACCACCGGGACCTGCGCCCAGAGGCGGCACGCCCAGAGTGATGGGGCTGGGTTTGGGTTTGCTCGGCGGGGCGGAAGATGAGGTGAGGCTGCGGGAGGTGGGGGCGGAAGAGGAGGAGGAGGAGGAGGTGAGGCCTGAACTGCTGTTGTTGTTGTTGTTTGTATTGCTGCTGTTGTTGTTATCGTAAGCTGAAGGGGAGGAGGAGGAGGGTGGGGTGGACCGTGGCACCGGTGAGGGAAGTGGGGACGGGTGGGAAATCGAGTGGATGGACGATGAATTGTTGTTGTTGTTCAGGGCTGGGGAGAAGGATGAAGGAGGTGAAGAGGAAGAGGGGGAGGAGGAACCGACAGCTGCAGCGGCTGCAGAGGAGGAGGAGGATGAAGATGAGGAGGAGGAGGTCTTCACCAGATTCATGGCCATCATGGGAGGGGAGGGGTTGCTCAGGTGGTGCGGGGAGTACTCTCGCCGGCGGTGCCCGATGACGGGGCTGGCGCTTCGGCCTCGTGGGCTACTCACTCGGATCTCAGGGTTGCTGCTGTAGACAGCCGCGCTGCTCAGCGATTTCATACTACTGCTGTGGCTGTGGCTGAAACCAGTGCTGCTGCTGCTGTTCTCCGAATGTGGGGGGCCCGAGAGAGGCTCGCGGTCGCGGTACGAGGCGGGGGACGGAGCGATGTGCTGAGGAGGCGACAGCTCGGAGCTCAGGTACAACGGTTGCCATGCCGACCGGCCACTTCCGCTGCCAGCGCTGCCGATGCTGCTGCTTCCGCTCCCGTTCAGCTTGTGCTGAAGGTGAAGGTCGTCGTCGCTCTCCTCAT